CGATCTACGGAAGCGTTTTTTTTTTTTTGCATCCGGTTTTTATTTGCCGTCACCCCTCCCCTCCCTCGGGGGCGGCAGCGGCGGCGAATGGCGGCGGGCAGCGCGCGAACAGCCACTCGTCCTCCTTGCGCAGCCAGCGCAGCAGCCGCGTCAGCGCCGCGATGGCCGCCGCCTTGGGGAGCAGCGGGCTGAGGCAGGCGTACAGCTCGAAGCGCCGCGTCACCTGCGGGCAACGCGCCAGATGTCTGCGGGCCGCCATCTTGGACGGGGAAAGGGGGCGGCCATCTTGGGTTGGGAGGAGGGAATGTGGCGGCCGTCTTGAGAGCGGCCACCGTGGGGGTGATGGGGGGAAGATGGCGGCCATGTTGGGGGGGTGAGGATGGTGGCCGTGTTGGGACTATGGCGGCCGTGTTGTGGGGAGGAACATGGCGGCTGTGTTGGGGGCAGCCATCTTGGGAGTGGTAGGGGGATGTAGCAGTCATATTAGGGGCGGCCATCTTGGGGGCGGCCATCTTGGGGGCAGGAGGATGGCGGCCATGTTGAGCGTGGGACTATGGTGGCCATGTTGGGAGTGGCCAGCTTGTGGATGGGAGGCTGAAATATGGCAGCCATCTTGGGCGTGGGACTATAGCAGCCATGTTGGGGGTGGCCTCTTGGCAGAGGAGAATGGGGGGGAAAGACGGTGGCCCTGTTGGGGGCGGTCATCTTGCAGGAGAAAAGATGGCAGCCACGTTGGAGGTGGGAGGAGAGAATATGGCAGCATGTTGGGGGCAGCCATCTTGGGGGTGGGAGTGGAGGAGATGGCAGCCATGTTGAGGGTGGCCACCTTGGACGTGAGAAGATGGCTGACATCTTGGGGGCAGACTTGTTGAAGGCGGAAAGATGGTAGCCATCTTGGGGGTGGGAATATGGCGGCCATGATGGGAGTGGCCATCTTGAGGGTGGGAGGCTGAAATATGGCGGCCATCTTGGGGGTTGGAATATATCAACCATGTTGGGGGCAGCCATCTTGGGGGTGGGAAGATGGTGGCAGTGTTGGGGGCGGCCACCTTGGGGGTGATGGGAAGAACGATGATAGCCATGTGGGGGCGGCCATCTCGGGTGCGGCCATCTTAGGGGTGGTCATCTTGGGGATGGGAGGAGGGAATATGGCAGCCGTGCTAGGGGCAGCCATCTTGGGGTTGGCCATGTTGGGGATGAGGGGGGGAAATACGACAGCCCTGTTGGGGACGCCCCCCTGTTTGGGTCCCTCCCCCCAATTTTAGGGCCCCCCCACCATTTTAGGGTCTTCCCCCTCATTTTAGGGGTTCCCCCCCCCTTCTCATTTTGGGTTCTGTGTGTCAGGTTCCCCCCTTCTTGGGTCACCCTCCCCTTTTTTGGGCTCTCCCCCATTTTAGGGTCTCCCTCCCCATTTTAGACCCCTCTCCCCCCCCATTTTGGGGCCCCCCGTACCCAGGCCAGCAGCGTCTCCCTGGCAGTGACCCTGTAGAGCAGCCTCAGCGGCCTCACGGCGCAGTGCAGGCGGCCCTGCAGGCCGTGGTACAGAGCGAACAGCCGCTGCTGCTCCTCGGGGCGGCTGTACGGAACAACGCTGTCCGGGCTGGGGGGGAAAACGGGGTCAGAGGGGGGTGGTCATGGGATCATGGGGGGTTATGGGGTCAGAGGGGTCATGGGGGGGTCACCAGTAATGGGGGGTCATGGGGGCATGGGGTCAGGGGGGGCCTGGGATCATGTGAGGGTTGTGAGGTCAGGGGGAGTCATGGGCACGTGGGGGGGCATGGAGTTGAGGGGGTGGGGCCTTGGGGGCACGGAGTCATGAGGGGGTTATGGGGTCAAAGGGAGTCGTGGGGTCATGGGAGGGTTATGGGGTCTGGAGGGTTATGGGGGGCATGCATGCATGTAGTCATAGGGGGGCCATGGGGGGGCATGGGAGCATGGGGGGATTATGGGGTCAAGAGGGATCATGGGGTCATGGGAGAGTTATGGGAGAGCATGGGGTCATAGGGGTCATGGGGGTCATAGGGGGTCATGGGGGGGTATAGGGGGACACAGGGTCAGAGGGGGTTATGGGGTTGGGGGGGCATTGGGGAGTTATGGGGGGTTATGGGAGGGTTGTGTGAGAGCATGTGGACTTGGGTTCATGGGGGGGTGTGGGGGATCATAGGGGTTCATGGGGGGGATTATGGGGTCATGGGGGGCCATGGGAGCAATCGGGGGTCATGGGGGGGTTATTGGGTCACAGGGAGTCATGGGGGATCATGGGGCAAGGATTCATGGGGGGGTCATGAGGGGTCACGGGGTCATGGGAATTCATGGGGTGGGGGGTCAACCCCCAAACAACCCCCCATACGGCCCCCAAGCCCCCATAACCCCTAAACACCCCTCTCATAACCCCCAGACAAACCCCATATCCCCAAACAACCCCCCACCATCCCCAAATAACCCCCAACTCCCCCATATCCCCCAAACAACTCCCCATAGCCCCTAAACAAGCCCTCAAACCAATAACCCGCCCGCAACCCCCCATAACCCCAAACAACCCTCTCATAACCCCCTGTAACCCCCAGACGACCCCCATATCCCCCAAACAACCCCCCATCATCCCCAAACAAGCCCCAAAACGCTCCCATAACCCCTCCCAGCCCCACATGTCCCCCAAACAACCCCCCAAACCCCCCCCAACCCCCCTTACCAGGTGAATTGTGGCACCTGCAGCACCTCCTCATCGCCCTCCAAGGGCTTATAGAGGAAATGGCGCAGCTCAGGGGCTCCGGGCTGGGAGGCGCCATAGGCGGTGTACCCCCCTTTAATGGCCGCCCCAAATTCCTCCATCCACCCTTGCGCTCTCAGCTCTGCTTCCAACCTCCTTCGGCAGGCGGCGGCGGCGTAAAAAGCCTCGCGTTGGGTCAGCAGGAGGATGAGAGTCACCGAGCCGCCGCACCGATCCTCATCCAGAGCGGCGGCGTAGGCGTAAAAATAGCCGTCGGGATTGAAGGCGGGCAGGCAAACGGGGCTCCAAACCTCACCTGAGCCCACCTGGGGGGGGAAGCAGGGGGTGAGGGGGACGGGGGGGGGGGTTGGTGGCACGTGGGGGCGTCAGTTTGGAAGACGGGGTCAGCAATGGGGCAAGATGGCCGCCAGCGGGAGAGGGAATGGCGGACAATCAGCAATCCAAGATGGCCGCCAGCGGGAGAGGGAATGGCGGACAATCAGCAATCCAAGATGGCCGCCAGCGGGAGAGGGAATGGCAGACAATCAGCCATCCAAGATGGCTGCCAGCGGGAGAGGGAATGGCGGACAATCAGCCATCCAAGATGGCCGCCAGCGGGAGAGGGAATGGCAGACAATCAGCCATCCAAGATGGCTGCCAGCGGGAGAGGGAATGGCGGACAATCAGCCATCCAAGATGGCCGCCAGCGGGAGAGGGAATGGCAG